CATCTCCTTCGCTCATGAGACTAGTCATTTAAGGAACCGACAAAAGTGGATAACATAAAAATGACAATGCATTACTCATATGCCTTACGCCGTTTTTAATTTTCAATCTTTCGAATAACTCAGTTTGCGTCCGTCACACAAAATCAACATTTCGTCCCACATCTGTTGCTGCTACAACACTTCGTGCTCGTTTGAGGCTGATTTCACCTTTGATACCGTCTCGCGAGGGGGGCGGAGCGCGGGGGCGGACCGGGCTAGGGGCCCGTCAACGTTTGAATTGGGCAGAATTATTGGCAGTAAGTGATGTCCTGCCTAGCTATCACCTTCGATGGTCCGAAGATCAAGAATGGACGACGTCTTTTCGAAAGTTTCGTTCAGGCGAACAAGTACAGCTTCTGGAACAGGTTGGTACCTCTTCAATCCATTTATTTTTCGTCTAATAAAAAGTTAGTGGTTGGGAAGAGTAAAAGGTGTTTTATAGGGAACTTGTGCAAGCAGCAGAGTCGCTGATATTTATGGGATTCATGAAACCTTGCACATTGTTTGTGTCTGCACCGGTCACCCATCTTCAAGCTTTACGAACTGCATGGGCTCGACGAGTACTGAAACCGGCTGAGGGTTACCAGATTACTTCACTTGGTACGTACTTTCATATTTTCATCCTATTTTTCCAACTTTCTAAGAAGTTTAGTTGGATCAAAACATGCTGACCTAACCGCCATAATCCTCTCATCTCTCCTCCTATGCTCCTTGAACTTATGTCACCGCCATTGACAATATCTTTCATCTTGTCGCGCCGTGTTCTCATCCCTGTCTGCACAAAACTTCACCGTAATCTTTATCCTTGCTGAAAGCGCTTTGGACTAGGGTCGGCACAGCTTTGATGTTGTCATTTCGCTGCGCCATGTTGTGCTAATTGTACACTATAACCACCACCCTAACACCTTGAGGTCGCCAGATTTACGGTCTAATTGACCAACCTGCTCTTTATTTCGTCTCTTTTTTTT